CAGGAGGCGGGGGTTGCGGTGAGCCGAGATCGCGCCATTGCACTCCAGCCTAGGTAACAAGAGCGAAACTCTGTCTCAAAAAAACAAACAAACAACAAAAAAAAATCCTTTCACAGGATGGTCTTTCCCAAGTATTCTCCTGTGATCCAGACCACAGAGCCTGCCTGACGTGGATCCGGACTTGCTGTTCCTGGGAACAAGAAAGAAAGCGTGTTTCGAAAGCTCAGAATCAGCTCTCCGGCCCGGTGGAAACACTGCCATATGCTTAATTGTGCTCCAATTACACAGGATGCTCCAGAATCGCTGCTCTGGGGTGGAGAGACGCTAATGGCCATCATTACATTTGGACAGCCCTGTTCGGCTTTCTGTGATCTTTGCAACTACTGTGTAGTTGGTTCACTGAGAGCTGCTGGCCTGTTTTAACACGGGAGAGATGGTGGAGTTCCTCATTTGCAAACGCTGACTGAGAACCTAGGGCGGACCAAGCCTGGTTTTAGGCACTGAGGACAATGCAAAGTAGGTTCTCACAGAACTTCTAGTCCAGTGGGGAGATAAGCAACACACACACACACACACACACACAAACACACACACACACACACACACACACACAATGCCCATAGAGATAAATGCCATGAACAATTAAGAGCTATGAGAAATGGACCACGTCAGCATTTTGGGAGGCTGTGGTGGGTGGATCATGAGGTCCAGAGTTCAAGACCAGCCTGGCCAAGATGGTGAAACCCCATCTCTATTAAAAATATAAAAATTAGCCGGGCGTGGTGGCACATGCCTGTAGTCCCAGCTACTCAGGAGGCTGAGGCAGGAGAATAGCTTGAACCCAGGAGGTGGAGGTTGCAGTGAGCTGAGATCACACAACTGCACTCTAGTCTGGGTGACAGAGCAAGACTCCATCTCAAAAAAAAAAATCGCTATGAGAAATGGGAGCAGGGCCTAAACGGTGGTCCAGGAAGGCTCCCTGCAGAGGAGACATTTGGGTGCCAAGGTGAGGTAAGGGAGGGAGCTGCGAGGAGGAGATCTGCTGGAAGAGTGTTCCAGGCAGCAGGAGTAGCCAGTGCAAAGGCCCAGGGGCCCTGCCTGGTGTGTTGGACAGCTGTGTGGCTGGAGTGGGAGACGGAGTAGAAGATGGGGAGAGGATGACACTGTAAGGGTCACCGTAAGGAATCTGCACTTCACTGTGAGTGGCATGGGACTGCTTTGAGCAGAGGAAGGATGTGACCTGTTTGATACCTAGAAGAATCTCCTCCACTTTTATGTGAGACAAGGTCTTGCTCTGTTGCCCAGGCTGGAGTGCATTGGTGCAATAATAGTTCACTGCAGCCTCAGAGGGGGCAGCTAAAGCTCCCCGGAGTGAAGGTGCTGGTGAGGTCTGAGACCGCAGACCTTCTCACCTAGATCTGCTTCCGAGAGTCTCAGCACAGCAGGCCAGTGCAAGGAGAAGTAAAAATTAAAAAGGATTTGATCAGCCCAACTCGGGAGAGAGGTCCGAGCTTGCTCATATTGCCTGCCCAAATTTCCCTGCAGCCCCCAGCTGGGCACAGCTGAGCTGTGGCTTCCGTGAGCTGCAGGATATTTGGAATAAAGGCTCAACCTTGGAAAAGTATTAATGAAAATGTCACAGGCACTAAAGTCAAAGCAGATGTGAAGCCAGCTACGCGGGCAGACGTAACTGATAAGAAGCAGTCCAGGAGTGAACAAAACCTCTGGAGATTAGGTCAAGGGCAGACCAAAAAAAAAAAAAAAATGACATCCGGGGGTCCCCCATGGCAACTTGGAGGAACACTGTCGCTCCTGTGGAACAAGCTGACATTTTTGTGCTGTGTTATATATTGACATCCCGACAGGGCCGCGTGCAGAGGCCTCCACATCAGCAAATAAATATTACGTCTCCATCTTCAGCTAAGCAGAGCTGTGGTGCATTCCTATTACTTCATGTGGATTAACCATCTGGAAGTTGAATCAAGCCACAGAGTAAAGAATGAGATCCAATTTTGCATTCACCAAAATAAGGCGTAGTAGTCTCAATTTATGGCAGATGGTTATGCAGTCTCAGCGGGCCAAAAAATCTCTCTGCAAAAGAATAAAGTTTATGCCAATTACTGTAATAGGAACCAGCACGGCAACTGTGTGGGGTTGACTAAGATCGCAGATATTGCTGTACGGCTCATAAACTGCAGGGGGCCGGGGCAACGATGGGGACCCAGTTAATTCATTAAGATAACGCAAGAGAAATGAGGAGCAGAGTTCGTCATAAAACAGAAATACATCCCCGCAAAGGACGGGGGGCAATCGAGGTGGAGGGGCTCCTGTCGGGATGGGACCTGGGTTGTGCTGCAGGCAGGTCCAGGGAAATGGCTAATGGTCACGGGGAGGCTGCCTGGGGCTCAGTGGGAAGGGCACGGGGGGGAGAGCCGTTAGATTCTGGGCTTTTCTCCACTCCATTCATTCAAAACAGATCTGCTGAGCATGGGCTGGTCTGTGGCAGGCAGTGGGCAGGCCTCGAGCCTATGTGCCCAGTGCCCTGCACTCCTGGGATCTGCCCTTACGGAGCTCCCAGCCTGGCAGTGCCCAGGAGGGGTGCTGGTCCAGTCGGGAGGTCCAGGGAGGCTTCTTGGATATGGCCCTGGGGCTGAGGTTGAAGGATGCAGAGGAGGGAAGGGAGCTCCGGGCCTACAGGACACGCTGTGGGCTTTGGTCCTGGAGAACCTGGAAGCACGCTACCAAGGCTGCAGCCTGGTGGTGAGGGGCAACAGCTAGGCAAAGACGGGGAGGGGCTGGGCCTCTTGGGCCCAGAGAGTTTTGTCTGTGTCCTGAAATCAAAGATGGAATGACATGCTCTCTTCCTTTGGTTAGGGGTCTTTGGCTGCAGGAAGCTCTGACTCTTTTCAGCTGAGAGCAGCTTCTTTTTCATTTTTATTTTTGAGACAGGGTCTCACTGTCACCCAGGCTGCAGTACAGGGGAGCCATCTTGGCTCACTGCAGCCTCAACCTCCCAGGCTCAAGCGATCTTCCCACCTCAGCCTCCTGGGTAGCTGGGACTACAGGTGTGCACCACCACACCAGGCTAATGTTTTATTCATTTATTTATTTATTTTGTAGAGACAGGGTCTTGCTTTGTTGCCCAGGCTGGTCTCAAACACCTGGGTTCAAGTGACCCTCCCATCTCAGTCTCTCATATAGTTATAATATCAACTATAGTGTTGATATTACAGGCGTGAGCCACTGCGCCCGCCCTGAGAGCAGCTTCTTGACCTGTGTGCTCAAGGAGATGGGAGGGCGGCAACTCCTCACCCCCCAGGTTGCTGTCATGATGGAATGATGCGCTATCGCATAGAGGGGGGTTCGCCCTTTCTCCATCATCCTGCCCAAGGAAAGCACCGCCGGGGACCCCCTGGCCAGCACCTCCTCAGATAGCAGCTTCCATATAACATGTTCTCCACCCCTGTCCTGGGAATTTTGTGCCCTGCCAGGACTGAAGTGGAGGGATTAGGCAGTTGGTCTGGGACCCATCAGGATTCAAAAACAAGGTTGCTTGTTTCCTATACATGTTGGTTCAGCCCTTGTAAATTTGTTTTTAAGTGAATGTTGACATTTGGGGCTCACAATAGGGTGACCAACTGTCCCAGTTGCCCCAGGAATGTACTGGTTTTACCCCACCAGTAAAGCCTTCCAGGAAACCCTCTATCCTGGGCAAACCAGAATGGCTGGTCACCCTCGCCAAATAACAGACCAGTGAGGAGGCAAACCCAGAGTTGCAGAGATTTCCACGCAGCCCCGTGGCCATTCCTTGTCTCACGGCCACATCCTGTGTTGGTATAACGACCTCGAGTTCCACCAGCATGACGCTGAGGCCCGGCAGGGCTGAGACCACTTGGGGGCCCACTGCCCAGTAAGTAGAGGCAGTGGGCTTGGAATGCAGGCATCGGATGCCAAAGGCTCAGTGGCATTAGTAAAAGCTCAGGGTACCGGTCACAACCGCCGAGCTGCACGTTCTTGAGGTAGGCTGACGGGTAATGGGACAAAGCAATCCCATTGTCCCTTGCTTGGCCAGCTGTCTCTTCCCTGCTCCCATGAAGGACCGGGCAGACAGAGGCCATCTCCTTTTGGTGGCCCAGAGCCAGGCTGGGCCAGACTGCCTAGTCACCCAGAGTCCCCCTCCTTGCCCACCACCCCCTGCCCGAGGATACTGTGTGCCCTGTGGCACATAAACAACCTGAGGGAGGGAGGACCAACGTGGAGAGTGAATCTCAGGGCAAGCGGAGAAGCCTGCTGGCGCTGACCTCAGTCACACAAGCGGAGAATCTGAGCCTGCTGGGTTGGAAGGAGCCGGGAGGAATCCTGAAATACACCCCCCCACCCCCACATGGGCTTCCTGGCATGTGCCAGGCCAAGGAAGGGGAGTGAGCTCATGGGCCATGGGATGCCAAACTGAAAAAATCTGATCCCCAGTGACAGTAGGCACTGCCGGGCAGTCACATATGGAAAGGGTTCTTGAGGCTTTGGGCCTTACAAAAAGTTTTAGTAAGATTCTCTTGTCAAGTAAAACACCGAAGACAGTTCTGGGGTGAGGGGGGCCGCTACCCACAATCCACCCCCACGCTACCAAAACCACCACAGTGGCTCCCCTCTGGATGCTGGCAGACGGGCAGACTTCCCGCCCTGACGTGGCAGGAGAGGGATGGCAGCTATTCTGATTTCTATCCCCACGCAGCGCAGTTCGCGTCTCCGCATTTCATTGTCATTAAACCTTTCCCTCTACGTACTCCTAGGCGGCCTACAATAGGAGGCATGGATGCAGGAGAACCTGAAACCCTCAGGCCTCCTGGCACCATTGCCAAAACCAGGGCTGAGCGGTGGGAAGGGGGAGTGAGGAGCTGTGGCAGGAAGCCCTGCCTGAGGAGCATGCCTCACTTGGATGCAAAATGCAGCATGGGGGTTTCTGACATCAGCATGTTCAACGCGATGTGGGACGATGTTCAACAGTGTCTAGGAAGAAACGTTTCTTGGCTCTGGGAAAAATCCATCATAGAAGTTTACTCCTAAGGGGTGCTTAGGAACCTAGGGTGTCCTCAATAGAATTTTTGTCATTAGGGTCGCCCCTCGGACCAACGCTTACTGAACGCCACAAGCATGGAGTTTGCAGTTCTCAAAGACCCCTAGGGCAGCAGGAAGCACACCTCCGGAGCGGCCTCTGGATTACAACCCTGGCGCCACCACTTTTAGTGATAAAACCTGGGGCAAATTACATTAACCTGGGCCTCAGCTGCCTCAAGCATAAAAGGATAGTGGAGGCTGGGCACAGTGGCTCACGCCTGCAATCTCAGCACTTTGGGAGGCCAAGGCGGGCGGATCATGAGGTCAAGAGATTGAGACCATTCTGGCCAACATGGTGAAACCCCATCTCTACTAAAAGTACAAAAATTACCCAGGCGTGGTGGCACGTGCCTGTAATCCCAGCTACTCAGGAGGCTGAGGCAGGAGAATCGCTTGAACCTAGGAGGTGGAGGTTGCAGTGAGCCGAGATCGTACCACTGCACTCCAGCTTGGTGACAGAGCAAGA